AGCTCTTTCAACTGGTTGCCTCCACGTGGCTAAGAGCGGAAACGTAAAAATATTAAAATTAATAATTTTCATATTTTTATGGCTAAAACCATAATATTATAACTATAAAATATATTAATATAGTATAAATAATGTAATATTGTTTAGCTAATATTAGAGAAAGTTTGTACAGTTAGAACAATGCATCCAATTATTTTTTTGTAATAACAATATAAATAGTTATTTTTAAGTTTAAATATTACCAATTATTAAAGTCCTATAATTTGAAATTTTTGACTATAATTATTGAAAGTAAAAAGGCATATAAAAATAAATATATTATATTATTATATAAACTATAAATAGATATCGAAGATGAAAACAACATCATATTATAGTTTGGTCAATGATTGAAATTGGAAAACTAAATCGTGATACGTCGGAAACAACATTCTATAAATAGATATCGAAGATGAAAACAACATCATATTATAGTTTGGTCAATGATTGAAATTGGAAAACTAAATCGTGATACGTCGGAAACAACATTCTATAAAGACTACCGTGATTGAAACACCTACATTATTTTACAACAAACGAATATTTACATTTTTTTACCTATTACGATTGTATATAATAATATGTAATATAAATGGTATTTTATTATTGACAAATTATGATTGAAATATTATCTAGATATAATAAATACACATTGAACTTTTCCAAATTATAGAAGAGTGTTTAAAATTAACTATAAAATTTAATTTAGATATAAATGATTATATATTTTAATAAAAATTTAAATTTTGTCATGTAAAAATTTTTTGAAAATTTCATCAAAATTTTATTTCTTAAATAAAATCTTTAATAAATTAAATATTTCAAAAGATTTTTTGTCTATAGATGTAAACTAATAAAAACTATATTAGGATATTTAATTTTGAAATGAGATTAAGTGGTTTGCCAAGCCCGGGGTCCTAACCCCAGTCTCCCATATACAAAACATATAAAATGATAAATTTTTAAATAAATTTTAACTATTAATGTAAGATTAGAAAGTTATTTTAAAAAACTTATTACTAACATAAATGAAAAATAAATTAATAATTATAATATTTTCTAATTCATCAATCAGATTTAGAACATTCAACTTTGTTTGATTTTTTAGCTTTTTAACACATTGATTTAAGGTCCGTGAAGTTGTAAGAACGATGTAAGGATCAATTAACAAAACCTATGCCATTATTTAGAGTCTTAATTGATCCTAATTGATCTTCAAACCAGACATCAGCAGAATTAAAGGTTTTTGAGTTATAAGCAAAATAATGAAAGTGCGAAGATTTGCAGCTGTAAGAATGATTTGAGGATCAATTACCGAAACTTATATCATTGTATAGCCCGTTAATTGATCCTAATTGATCTTCTATCCGGAAAGCAGCAGAATGAACCGTTACTGAGTTATGAGCAAAATAAGAAAGTGTTGGCACTTTGCCAAAACCGAAAATATAAAAGATTACGATCTGAAACTTGGCAATTATTTAAGCTTTAATTTGTGCGTTAATAATATCCAAACCGGATATCGATATCACTAACCGCAATTGAGTTATGACCTGTTTTTATAGCGTGAAGTTGTAAGAATTTTTTTAAAAAGTGAGGATCAATTACCAAAATATATGCCAAAGTGTGGTGCGTTAATTGATCCCCCAGAATCTTTAAACCGCATATCAACAGAATGAACCGCTCGTGAGTTATAAGCAAAATAGAAAGGTTTTGGCACCTTGCCAAAATTAAAAATTTAAGCAATCATTTTTTTAGTTATAGCCAATATTTAGTACCTTAATTGATCCTCCATATTCTTTAAACGGAATGTCAAAAAAATTAAAGGCTATTGAGTTATAAGCAAAATAATGAAAGTGCGAAGATTTGCAGCTGTAAGAATGATTTGAGGATCAATTACCGAAACTTATATCATTGTATAGCCCGTTAATTGATCCTAATTGATCTTCTATCCGGAAAGCAGCAGAATGAACCGTTACTGAGTTATGAGCAAATTAAGAAAGTGCTGGCACTTAGCCAAAACCGAAAATATAAAAGATCACGATCTGAAATTTGGCAATTATTTAGGCTTTAATTTGTGCGTTAATAATTTCTAAACCGGATATCGATATCACTAACCGCAACCGAGTTATGACCTGTTTTTAAAGCGTGAAGTTGTAAGAATTTTTTTAAAAAGTGAGGATCAATTACCAAAAACTATACCAAATTGTGGTGCGTTAATTGATCCTCCAGAATCTTTAAACCGCATATCAACAGAATAAACCGTTCGTGAGTTATAAGCAAAACAAAAAAGTATTGGCACTTTGCCAAAACTGCCAAAACCGAAAATAAAAAAGATCATGTTTTGAAACTTGGCAATTATGTAGTATTCAATACGTACATTAACAATCACCAAACCGGATATCGATATCACTAACCATTACCGAGTTATAACAGTTTTAAAAACGTTAAGTTGGCGGAAATATTTAAGCTGTAAGAACGATTTGAGGATCAATTACCGAAACTTATACCATTGTATAGCCCGTTAATTGATCCTAATTGATCTTCTATCCGGAAAGCAGCAGAATGAACCGTTACTGAGTTATGAGCAAATTAAGAAAGTGCTGGCACTTAGCCAAAACCGAAAATATAAAAGATCACGATCTGAAATTTGGCAATTATTTAGGCTTTAATTTGTGCGTTAATAATTTCCAAACCGGATATCGATATCACTAACCGCAACCGAGTTATGACCTGTTTTTAAAGCGTGAAGTTGTAAGAATTTTTTTAAAAAGTGAGGATCAATTACCAAAAACTATACCAAATTGTGGTGCGTTAATTGATCCTCCAGAATCTTTAAACCGCATATCAACAGAATGAACCGTTCGTGAGTTATAAGCAAAACAAAAAAGTATTGGCACTTTGCCAAAACTGCCAAAACCGAAAATTAAAAAGATCATGTTTTGAAACTTGGCAATTATGTAGTAATCAATACGTACATTAACAATCACCAAACCGGATATCGATATCACTAACCAATACCGAGTTATAACCGTTTTAAAAACGTTAAGTTGGCGGAAATATTTAAGCTGTAAGAACGATTTGAGGATCAATTACCGAAACTTATACCAATAGCCCGTTAATTGATCCTAATTGATCTTCTATCCGGAAAGCAGCAGAATGAACCGTTACTGAGTTATGAGCAAATTAAGAAAGTGCTGGCACTTAGCCAAAACCGAAAATATAAAAGATCACGATCTGAAATTTGGCAATTATTTAGGCTTTAATTTGTGCGAAAATAGAATAATATGTTTATCTTCGTCTTCAGATGATTCTTCAACCGAAAATTATAACAATAAATTTAAACTAAGCATACTTAATGGCAAATTTTTTTAAGTACTTCAAGATGATCATAATAAAGAAATTCATCGTGACTTTGGTATTGCGAAAAAGATTTAGCAACTGTTACAGATAACGGCTCTAACTTTAAGAAAGCTTTCAAGGAGTTTGGATATTCTATGGAAGCTGTAGAGAATGACCTTGACAACAATGACGATGAATGTATAGAATTCGAAATCATTGAAAGTATTATTTAATACTTCTTTAAAATTTATTATATATTGTAAATTTAGTAAAATTTTTATTCAAATAAAATTATTATTTGTTTATTTAAGGGTCTAAAGAAGCCTCAATAACATTGCCTCAACACATTCGTTGTTTGTGCCATACGATAAGTCTAATTGCCACAACAGATGTCGAGAGAGTTATTATACTAACATTTCTAATATTCATCATCCTGCAATAGCTAAATGTACTAAGCTGGAATGCAAATAATAGGCCTAAAACTGCAGAACTTATCAAAGCAGTTTTAGGAAAACAATAAGTTACGCCTTGTTGCACTAGATGGAATAGTTTGTATGATAGTCTTCATAGTTTATTAAAATTTAAAAGCGAACTTCCTAAATTATGTCAAAAATTAGAATTTCCTAAATTAAGAGATATTGAAATTCAATATTTAGAAGAATATTGCAATATAATGGCCCCATTGGCTATAGCGATTGACAAAATACAGAGTGAAATCAACTGCTATTATGGAGAATCAGCTCCAATTTTAAATGTCGTTAAAAAAAATTACAAATTTAATTCAAACCAATCTACAATTTTGCAAACCATTAGCTGTTGCCATAGAAAATTATTTAAATAAAAGATTTAAAAATATATATGATTTTGATAACAATTTTAAAAGTGCATTTTTGGCAACTATTTCTCATCCCTATTTTAAAAATCGTTGGATTGATGGTGAAAAAGAAAAAAATACCTTCAGGATTTGTTATTACATGAAGTTTTAATTGTTTTTAAAAATAATATTGAAATTAATACTTCAACAAAATCTTCAATTGATGAAGATGATGATTACTTTTGCCTTAAAAGTACCACATCCAATTCTAATAATTCAATAAATGATATTGAAATAGAGGTCCTAAATTATATGAAAGATGACAGGCGGAGTATAAATATGTTAAATAGTTATAAATATGAAATATTTATTAAATATAACACAATATTACTCTCCTCAGCCCCCGTTGAAAGATTATTTAGCTTTGCTAATATGGTTAATCAAATCGTCAAAGATTGAACGAAAAATTAATAATATTAAAAAATAATGCTGATTTATGATGCTGATTTATTATTATTTACTAATTATATAATTATTAAATGGAATATCGCATTATCTTTTAGAAAATAAAGCTTTTATCTTATATCTTATATCTTATTGAAATTTTTCAAAAGTATCTAGTATCTTGTATCTTAAATACAAAATTTTATAAAGTATCTGTATCTGTATCCGAATACAATTTTCTGAAAATTTGCCCAACCCTGGCGTGGGGGCGTTGTGTTCTAATTAATTACTGTTATTGTGTTTAATATCATTTTTTTCTATAATTAATAAATATGCTAGAAATTATTTTTTTATTAATTATAATGTTTAATTAATTTTAAATATTAACCAGATGTGTTAATAAATCAATCTTTTTCATTAACTAAAATTCTTTTAAAAATCATAAATAAATATTCCATCGTAATTAAATTTGGTAAGATTTTTAAATTTTATTTTTTAAATTATATGGGTACATTTAGTACAGGGGAACGTTAGGACACTCTGATTATAATTTGAGCTATTATTTATAAGACTGGAAATTTGAGCTTAACATAGATAATTACGTCATACATGATTAGCTAAAAAAAATTTGAAAAATATTTAGTATTTTAATTTTTACAGAAGAAGTTTTGGCATACCAAAATTAATATAAAATATTTGCCTTTATCGTTTCAAAAATCATAATAAATAGATTTTAGGAAAGTTTAAACCTATTTCCCAATCTGGCAAACTTTTGGAATCAAGGTTGATATTTATAAAGTTAGTGGGCTCGGTCATAGTTGGTCAAAGTAAGTTGGGACACGCCATTTTAGCTCATTTTATAATTTTATTATTAATTTAGTATTTTGAATAATTAAATACTTATCTTTCACTATGTTTATGATTAAATGAAATTTTTTTTTACAATTTTTTTTTCTCAAAATAAATTTGCTTAATTTTGCTAAAATTTTTTTTATAGTTATTGATTATGAATTACACTATCAATAAAATCATATGTGTCATATCTAGTCTTACTGGATTATTGATTTTAAATTTTTAAATTTATTTAGACCTCTATTTCACGAGTGTCCCAACTATCACATATGTGTGTCCCAACGTACACAGAGTCTGTCATAGTTGGGGCAAAAAAAATTTTTTTTTTTAAATTAAATTTTCTAAAAAAATATAATCTTTATAAAATATATATTAATTATTTCAAATAGCCAATACTTCTGGGATTCAGAAGATGTTTTAATTATTCAGATAAGTCTATTAATATTAAAATTATTAAGGTTTGAAAGTGTCCCAACCATCCCCGCTCTATTATCATTCAATAAGCAGGCATATTAGCTAATCTTGTTTAACGGTTAGTTATAAGCAAAACAAAGATAAATTTTTATCGAAATGTTTTTTTACAAACTCAAAAAATGATATAAATATACATGTGTTCATAACATAAAAAAACTATTTTCATTCTTAACTTCTTTGACGTTCGTGTTAATTAAAGTTTAAAAATATCAAAAATTTTTACAAACACCCTATAAAAATTTACAAATATTGTTTTTAATTATAAAAAAAATTAACCAGCTCCCACATGTGATTAATAAATCTAGTGATTTCTTAAAAAAAATATATTTAATTAACACATTAAGAATAACTAAAATTTTTAAAGCATCTAATCAAAATATCAAGAAAAAAATTTTTTTTTTGTACTTAGACTAGAGATCAGTCCGGCCCGTACCTTGGTTTATTTTTTAAAAATATATGGGGGCTGGATCGGATTTAATATTTTCTTTAAAAAAATCTAGCTGGTACCTGGTCTTGGAAATTTTTATATTTGAATTTTACGTTATATTTTTTATTTAAAATAAAAATATTTGATTATACTTATATAGCAATATCTTTTATTTTGAGTAATTATAAAAAAATTTCTATATTTAAATAAATTCAGGCCGGGTCAGCAAAACTTTTTTAAAAAAATTTCGGGCCCAGCCGGGCTTGAAAAATTAGGCCCGATTTATACCTTTCTTAAAGAAAATATATCAAACAACCATTTCCATTACGTCACCAAATTCCTCTTACATTTACAATTATTCATGCAAAAACTAAATTCAGACTCCCTCCCATTAGCTCCAGTATGGCCATTTAATCCATAATGGCCAAGATTTTAGTTCTGATAAAAATGCTCAATTTTTTAAATTATATAGCGTAAAGTCCAAATATTATATTATGAATAAAATCCGTCAAAAAAATAACAGTAGATATGGAAATCTAGCCTGGGGCATATCTGCACCACATTAATATAAAAAATAAAAATATGCTGTGTGATGCTATAAGATCAAAAAACAACGATCTTTATTATTACTTTGAAGAAATTCATAATAGAAATGAGAAATAGTTATAATTATGAAAATTCTCATTCTCTAGTCTACGGCTCAAGTTTCTAGTCGATTTAAGGATATAGACTTGAGTTCACGACTCGAGTTCATAACTCAAATCAATTTGGTCAATTTTTTCCACCCAAAATTTGGCGCAAGACTCTTTCGATTAACAACACTAGGCTAAAAATCTTATAATTTTCAAATTTATAGAAATTAAAAAAAATATATAATATTGTTAAACGATTCTATTTGTGCCCATTTTTTAAAACGGCTAACTCAATATGTTCCGAAAAAATCTTAGCAAGCCTGAAAATTTGTTCATACATGGTACAAAGGTTTGGACATTTATTAGACAAATCTCGAGGCGCAGTCAATTTATTTTGGCTAAAATATTAGTTAGCCTTTTTTATTTTAAAATCGGCTCAAATCAAGCCCATTAACAACACTAATAATATGGTATTTTATAAAATATTTCCCCATATTTTTTAAAATATAAATAATTTCTGAGGATCGAAAAATTGGAAATGGGAAAAATAATAAGTGAATGAATATAATACATTGTTTTATGATACGAAATTTATATATATTTTTTATTCTTAACTTTTATAGACAATAATGGCGTTTTAAAATATTTGGCCCCGGTCGGGTATCGAAATTTTTTTTGTTAGGGCCGACTCTGCCCTGATATATTTAAAAAATAATTATACGGCCCGCCCTGTGAAAACCAGGGATGCAAACCTGGCAATCAAATTATAATAAAAAAAAATTAATTTTATTAAGAAAATTCATTTCAGTTATTCGAATAAGTCGAATCGAATACAAATGGTAGATTTTATTATTTGTACCTATTCAAATAGCTTTCACATTCGATTCGAATTCGTTTTTGAAAAGGACTTATCTTTATGAATATTTATCAATATATCTTCTAGATTATAATGGCATCGCCAGGGAGACAGCCAGCGGTGCCACTTCCAATTCTAAAATCTATCTTTTCTAAATACAAATTTGAGATTCAACAAAATCTAAACCACTCGTCAGCAACAATCTGGAAGATAATAAGCAAGGAGTTATTAGCTATGATGAGCCCAAAACTACTCTATAATTATGCCTCACAAAATCGAAATAATTGTCTAGATATTTTGGAAATACAGAAAGAAGTAAATATATCATTATTTATATATATATATCTTCTGGTGAAAGTTAAATAAGGTTAATTTTGTGATTTCACTTATTTTAATTTATGTAATGATTTTAACTGCCCCCACTGCATTTAATGAAGATGCCCTAGAAATCTATCATTTTAGCTTATAAATCATAATATATTTAATTATTTCTTGTTTCAATTATATAAATTTTAAAAAAGTTGTTTTTAAAAAAAATATATTTTTTTGCTACGTAAAGAATAACACCCTCCCCACCCCTGGTAATGTAAATCTTGGTAACAAATATAGAAAATAGATATTTGCAATAATCTAACCTAACCAATAAGTTTGCAATTTTTAAAAAAAATAATCATGTGGGAACATGGTCGGGACTAATAAATTTTGGCCGCATGGATATTTTTAATAAAGATGAGGAATAAATACTTTTTTATTTTATTTTATAAATATATTAAAATATTTCATATTTGTAAGGTAAATATTATTGATCCGAATATGCCTGATAGTCCCTAGTTAATAATACAATTAATATCTTCTTAAAATATAATAAAATATGATACATAGAGATCATGGAGAGTCGGCGCAAGCGGCTTGTCAGTTCAGCGATTTTTATTTAAAAACCAGACATGTTTAGACATTCAAATTTAGTGATATAATTTACATTGGTAAGCGGAAAATAAATCCCCGGAAAAAAAAATTCCCGAAAATAATTGCCCAGGAACAAAATCCCCCCCAAAAAAATATCCCCTGGAAAATAATTCCCCGAAAAAAATATCTTAGGAAAAAATTCCCATAGAAAATTTTTCCCCGGAAATAAATTCCCTATTTTTTAGATTTTAAATTAAATATAGAGGAAAATCAATTTCCGGAAAATTATACCGGGAAAAAGATCCTCGAATATTTTTTTTTAAAATTATCAAAAATAACCCTGCCGCTTAATAACGAAAATATTTCTAAAAAATTATAATCAGTATTTTCTGAAAGTTAAGTATTTATTCTCGACACGTTTGAGGATTTTTTTTAGCATTATTTATGTTTTAATTCTAAGCGATATAGGGCTGTTTAAAATATGAGACATCTCGGAAAGAAAACATGATAGCTTTTTATAGAAATAGATGTAAATTATGCGTGCAATTTAAAATTGAAAAAAAAGGTGAAAACAAATTTTTTCCTAGAAATAGGGAGATTATTTCCATAATCTAGTTTTAATATATATTTCAATTAATATATTTTTGAAGACAATGATTTAAATTTTTAATATATTTTTAAAAACTTCATGGAAAATGATTAATAATTTGTGTAAAAATAAATATTTTTTTATAATAATATTTTTTTAAAATTAAAATTTGATTTTCAATAATAATATCTAATAGTAGATGATAGGATTTAATTTCGTTGATTTTCTCGAAAATTTAACATATTTTATTTAGGGATTTTTTTTTCCTACTTTGTTAATTTTCTAAAAATAATTTAATATTTTATAAGGAACAAAAACTAAGGGAATTTTTTCCGGGGAATAATTTTTTAAGAATTATTTTCCTGTGATTTTTTTGGGGGGAATTATTTTACGCAACCTCTGGTTGCGCTATAATTACCTAATGTATATTACTAATAGTAAATAACTAACAAAAATAAATTTATATAATATACAACTAATAACGAAAAAGAAATTTAGAAACAAAAAAATATATATATTGACAATAGGTACGTCGTTTACCTTTGTATTCATATAAATATTTGTATTTGTGCCCAAGTCTGGTGCTTAAAAAATTTAAGGCTGGGGTTCGTCCCGATGTATTAGTGTAATTACTATATATATTTACATTATTTATATTTTATGTAATATATCACGACTTTATTATAATACAGGAACACAAAAACATTGATATATGAAATATTTACTATTTTAATATGATTTTAAAAAATATTTTTACATTATCCTTAGGAAAAATTCCCCGAGATTATGTCGTCAGACTCAAGTGACGACGGCGAAGATAATGTCAAAGTAAAAAAGGATATATTTGAAATTTCTATGACAGGGGAAGAATGGAATCAAATATATCCGAATGCGGATAACCCAAATCGGTTAAAAATGGGTTGGACCCATGTGCTTGAAAAAATAATTTCTAGTCAATTGAAAATACCCTGTTTATGGGTATTTTCTAATAATTATGTATCTCTAAATTCAATATATTTAATAAAAATTAAGGCTTTTTGTAAACAATGTTCAGCTGTGTTATTAATTAAAAAATTAAATACTTTAAATAATATATATATAAAATTTATATGTGAAATATATAATTATAAAACAGAATTGCATAATAATATTTATAAAAGACCATTAAGTGGGATAAAAAGGGAAGAGGTTGCTAATGAATTACAAAAAGATTTAGCCATAAACTGGCGCTTGAAAAAAGCAAATGAAACCATGGAATATGGTGAATTGGAACTTTATATTCCTTGGATGTCCTACGTAAATGCAAACAATCCATTTCTAATAAATATAACATTAAATCGGATAGCGTAATCAATCAGTTATTATATCTAAAATATACTCAACCATATTTACCCAGTATAATCAATATATCCTGTGACAAATTTTTTATGCACTACTGGTTACCAGAACAAATGATAACTTTTAATAAATATTGCCAAGATACTAACGTATCCATACTACAAATAGATGCCACAGGGACCTTAGTAAAAAAAATTAAGTCGACCTTATGATCAAACATCTGGGCATATTTTTCTATACATAGGAGTAATCGATTTAAAAGTAAAATCTGGGCAAATACCTGTAGTTCAGATGTTATCAGAAGCCCATGATATTAACCACATTTCACACTGGCTGAATGTATGGGTGCATAGAGGTGCTAAAATACCTAAAATTGTTGTAATTGATCATTCATTAGCTTTATTGGGGGCTGTTGCCAGATCGCTAGCAAATTTTATTGATCTTAAGTCATATATTGAATATTCATTTAATATAATATTAGGTCAAAAATTGCTGACCCCTAGGATATTTATTAGAATAGATTATGCTCATTGTATCAAACTAATAAGTAGATGGCCTAGTTTATATAAAAAACCTCGTTTATTTAGAGAATTTTATATACGTTCCGTTGCAATGCTAATAAAATCCGCTTCTTTTAAAGAGGCGGAAATATTAATAGAATCCATCCTCATTGTATGTAATAGTGAATTTTGTGGGATCGAAACTTGTCCTGACATTACGCTGAATGCTAAAAAATATCTAAAAAATATAATCTCTGGAATAGAAGATATAGACATTAATATATTAGATGAACTCGAGGATGAAATATCCATTGACTTAAATGTATCTAGTAATATAAATTACTGGATAGAAAGTATTAAAAATAAAGCCATATCTAAATGTATCATATCATATAAAGAAGAAAATTATTTCAATAACCCAGAAATATCTATAAATTTATGTAATTTTTTAAAGACCTATCCTTTATGGTCTAGTATTATGCAACCACATTATAATTATGGACAAGTTACATCTTCTACATCAAATGTTGAAAGTTATTTTAATAATTTGAAAAATAGAACATTTAAATCCGTAATGTTACCTATTACTATTGATAAATTTTTCTGTAAACATTTTGATGAGATAAGAGGATTGCTTACTATAGCTGAAGCGTCCCGAATCTCTAATATAATTAAGGAAAAGGATACTGTACAAATTATTATACCACAAGAAACAGACAATTCACAAATTTCTAAATTTAGTAGTTTAAATGAGGGAGAAGTGTCTGATGATGAATATCAATTAATTGAAAATTGGAAAGGTTTAGTAGATCAACCATCCATAAAAAAGAAACGTACTTCATATTATGGAGCACATTGCCCTGAAATATTACATGTAATTGAAGGGACCAAGATTAAATTAGGCATGTTGAAAAATGGGAATCTTACCACAATAAAGAGACCTTTAAAACTTGGATCTAATAGATATATAATCAGTAATACATGCCCTATTGATAGTTTATCACAAGCAGTAGCAGTAGCCTACTGCGATAGCAAATTATATAAAGCTTTTTTTGACAATTTAGAAAATAGTATATTTTAAGAGTTTATAGAATATTTTGTTTCGCATGGGGCCAATAATAATACTTATAAGATAAGGTGTGATTTATTATTAAAATTATTCGATAAAACTAAGATTAGTAATGGTTTCTATAGATTGTCTTGCGAATCAACAATATATTATATTATAGAAAAATGCTATAAAGATATATATAGTGTAACCGATATTTTTAAATGTAATAATAAAGAATGTTTACGACCGGAAAATTTCTTAGAAATAATATGTTTACCAATAAATTTAAATATAATAAATAATACAGGTTTTGAAAGTTTGGATATTGCAATCCAAGATGCTTTACCTCTTTTAACATACTGTAAATCCTGTAAAATGCCGGACCCTTTATCTTTAGTCCATAAGTACCAATTTCATGAACAAGTTATAATTGACACTACAGGCTGTCAAAGTTCTAAATTAAATAATTTCCCTAGATTTATAAATTTAGGAGATACATTATATTTTTTAAGAGCTCTTATAGTATTTATACCTCCTGCTGTTTCTTCAGGAATTGGTCATTATATATGTTATTCCAAGCGGTTAGATGGAACATGGGAAATATATAATGATCTCTCAAAATCTATTATATATAAAAATAATGATTGCCAAGATGATGTTATATGTCATGCTATTTTATATACCATATGAATCATTCATAACATATCATCCATTGTTGGCATTCATTACTAATATATTTATCATGTTAAATTTAACCTTTTGGAATAACATATTTAATGATCTATTTGTGATGAAGCAGGAGATATAAAAAATTAAACAACTAGATATCCCATTAATTTATTTAATTTTGAACTTCCACCACACCTACTATTTTTATTTATAACTTATGTATTAGGGATATGGGATACAGCATTTTAAGTAATTTACACAATGTTATCTGAGATTATGCATCTTGAATTAAATAATCAATCTTTATAAACATCACATTGGTAAGAATATGATTTATAAGAAATTCTCCAGTCGTTACATTTAAAAAATTGGTACAGTATAAGTATGTTTATAATATAATTCTATAATATTGTTGATTCATAAGACAATATAAATAAATCATTACTCCTTAGGTTTATCAAACAATTTTAGTATTAAATCACAATTTTGCGAAAAATAATATTCTATCTTTGAATATATTATTTCCTAAATTATCAAAAAACATTTTATATGATTTGCTACAGCAGGCAATTGCTTCTGCTTGTTATTAACTATTAATAGGACATGTATTGATGATTATATCTATGATTTGTGGTAAGATTTTTATTTTCAACAAATTAATTTAATCTTGGTAACTTTAATTAAACTTAATATTTAAGAGCAATGTGCACTTAGGTTTTTTTATGGATTAATTATCTGCCAACCCTTCCCATTTTTTATTAATACAAATTCATCGACACCTTTATCCTGAATAAAATTTCATTGCTATATTTAAAAATTTGTAATATTTCTATTTCTTGTGGTACATATTTTTTCTATCTCCTTAATTATATAAGAGATGCTAGATGTCTCAGCGACAGTAAAAATCCCTATTATTTAATCTAACGGTTAATTTTATCAATTGTCATGCATAAGCAACAATTACGAATTTAAATCATCTAATTTTAAAATTAATTTAATAACTTATTTGATGGCTGTAGTTTGTTCTTAATAATAATGTGATTGCATTATCTGGATCAAGGACAGATCTTTAAAAAATTACATAAAATACGAGGTTATAGAAATATATTTCTTCTTTTCATATGATACATTTAAATATAGCTTTATTTTTAATACTTACTATTCAATAATATATCTTTTAATCAATTATTCTTTCATCATCAGGTTCATCTAATATATTAAAGTCTCCAGAGATTACATTTTTAAAATATTTATTAGCATTCAGTCAGGACAAATCTTAATATAACAAAATTCACTATTCAATAAGGAAAGATTCTATTAACATTCTTAAGTTTAGCAACGTAAAATTCTCTAATTAAATATTACTTTTTATATAAACAGGGTAATATATTTATTAATTTGATACATCGAGATTTTTATCTAATAAAAATCCTAGGAGTATGTTGTCATAATATTATATTTTATAAATATACACTATATGACCTTAGATCAATAAAATTTTCTGGAGGTCTAGAGACAATCTCCAATAAAGTTAAGGGATCATCAGTTCAATTTTTTGTAATTTACCTCCAAAATGTACCCTTTCATGCAGCTTTTTGAAAGTATGGTTATTATCATGGCTTTTGATAATACTTGCACTATGGCACATGCCCTGATTTTTATTTTAAATCTATTATATATATGTATACGAAAATATTCCTAGATGTTTAATAATATGGTCTATTTATTTTTACTAAGGTATATGAAATCTATTTGTATGAGCGATATTTATTTAAAGTTATCATCTGTTTTTGTAACCAATATATAAATAATTTATCATTGGAAAAATTGATTATAATGGGTAAATATAGTTTGTGTATATTTTAGATATAATAATTGGTATAATTGTAATCCGATTTAATGATAGTTTTGCCTGCGTATTCATATGACTTCTAAGGAATATAGATTACTGGTTTCGAATTCAATATTTCATGGTTTGATTTGTTTAACACATCAGTTTCAAACTAAATCTGACTTAGCACTTAGTTCATTTTTATCTCAATAAGCGGTCTATTATAACGATAATTATGCAACATTTTAAAACAATAATTCACACATAAATTATATATATATAGTATAATTTTTTTTAATCCTTAACACCTCTGAACTGAACACTGTTTACAAAAAAGCAAAAAAAAAAAGCAAAAAAAAAAGCAAAAAAAAAAGCAAAAAAAAAAGCAAAAAAAAAAAGCAAAAAAAAGGCAAAAAATAAAAAGCAAAAAAAAAGTAAAAAAAAAAAGCAAAAAAAAAGCAAAAAAAAAAAGCAAAAAAAAAAAGCAAAAAAAAAGCAAAAAAAAAGCAAAAAAAAAGTTAAAATAAAGCAAAAAAAAGCAAAAAAAAAATAAACAAAAAAGATAAAAAAATTATAAAAAATACGAAAATAAAACCACTAAATCGCCAAATTTAAAATCGCCAAAACATCATTCACACCTTGCAGATTCGCCCTCAGATAGGGTCAAGGCCTGTTTGCTGACAACTGAGGGTAAATAAATTATTCATAATAAATCATTTTATTTTAAATTTTCAAGCTGCAACAATACCAAATCTAACTTCCTATTCTATTATAATGTAATTAATTAATTTTTTGGAAGCAATTTAATTTTTTTATAGCCGATCCCATTTACACCATGCAGATTCGCCCTCAGATAGGGTCAAGGCCTGCTTGCTGACAACTGAGGGTAAATAAATTATTCACAATAAATCATTTTATTTTAAATTTTCAAGCTGCAACAATACCAAATCTAACTTCCTATTCTATTATAATGTAATTAAATAATTTTTTGGAAGCAATTTAATTTTTTTATAGCCGATCCCATTTACACCATGCAGATTCGCCCTCAGATAGGGTCAAGGCCTGTTTGCTGACAACTGAGGGTAAATAAATTATTCATAATAAATCATTTTATTTTAAATTTTCAAGCTGCAACAATACCAAATCTAACTTCCTATTCTATTATAATGTAATTAAATAATTTTTGGGAAGCAATTTAATTTTTTTATAGCCGATCCCATTTACACCATGCAGATTCGCCCTCAGATAGGGTCAAGGCCTGTTTGCTGACAACTGAGGGTAAATAAATTATTCATAATAAATGATTTTATTTTAAATTTTCAAGCTGCAACAATACCAAATCTAACTTCCTATTCTATTATAATGTAATTAAATAATTTTTTGGAAGCAATTTAATTTTTTTATAGCCGATCCCATTTACACCATGCAGATTCGCCCTCAGATAGGGTCAAGGCCTGTTTGCTGACAACTGAGGGTAAATAAATTATTCATAATAAATCATTTTATTTTAAATTTTCAAGCTGCAACAATACCAAATCTAACTTCCTATTCTATTATAATGTAATTAAATAATTTTTTGG